ATACAAAAAAAACATACAAATAAACAAAATCCAGTGGTGCCTTTGTTAGGATTTTACAGCTCCGGGTATAGGCCACATTGAGTCCAGTAACACTGGTACCACCTGGGAGATTGTTAGACGTGCAATATCTTAAGTCCTGCCCCAGACCCTACTGAATGTTAAGGTTCATTTGCACATTAGAGTGGAGAAGCACTGGTCTAGATGCCTGGAGACCCATTTGTAATATGTAGACCTTGTTTGGATCACAAGTCAACAAGCCAACTGCAAGAAGATGTTTTTGCCTATCAGGGAAATTGAGCATGGACTAGGTCTTGGGTTCTACAAAGAAATAAGTGCTAATTTCATTAGATATTACAATGGCACCCAATGGTTAATGATGAATGTCCAGATCTTTTTTTTTATTCTTCATTTTTTAAAGTTTAGTTAGTTTCTAGTATATAGTACATTGGTTAGCAAAATGATTCCCCCAATCGCTCCCACCCTCCCCTCACCCTCCACCTAGCCAATGTATTAATGCTAATTACATTCCTTATGCCCTGCTTCCCATCCCTGTGACATCCATCAGCTACTAATCTGTACTTCTTTAACCCTTCACCCGATTCTCCCAGTCCCCTAAATTGCCCCTCCCCTCTGTCCGTCACCAAATTGTCCACTATATTTGTGAGTCTGTTTTTGATTAGTTTGTTCTTTTTATTCCTTAAATTCTTCATATAAGTGAAATCATAGTGTTTATCATTCTCTGACTTAAATACCTTCTAGGTTCATTACAGCAATATTTTTTCCCATTCTCTTTCTTTTCATATATAGGGGTCTTGTTTTCTTATCCTTTCATCTACTATGTCTTTTAGTTGGAGTACTAATTCTTGAGGTACTTATTAATAGGAATGTAGTTGTTACCATTCTTTATTCCTGTTTTCGATACATGTTTTTTCTTCTTAAAGAAGTCCCTCCAACATTTCCTGTAATTCTGGCTTGGTGGTGATAAATTCCTTTAGTTTATTTTTGTCTGGGAAGCTCTTTATCTGTCCTTGAACTCTAAATAATAGCTTTGCTGGATAAATTATTCTTGGTTGTATATCCCAGATCTTCATCCTGTCAAAAATTTTTTGCCAGGCCCTTCTGTCCTGCATAGTCTCTCTTGAGAAATCAGCTGCCAGTCATATGGGTGTTTTCTTATATGTATTATTTGTTTTTCTCTTGCAGCTTTTAAAATTCTTTCTTTGTATTTAACCTTTGGCATTTTAATTATGATGTGTATTGGTGTGGGCCTCTTTGGATCCCTGATTTTTGGAATCCTCTGAGCTTCCTGGGGTTTTATGTCCATTTCTTTCACCAGGTTAGGGAAGTTTGCCATCATTATTTCTTCAAATAGCTGTTCAACATCTTGATTTTCTTCACTTACACTGATCAGATGAATATTTGGAGCCTTAATAGTATCCCATATCATCCTTAAATCATCTTTATAGTCTTGGCATCTTTTTCTTGCCATTCTGTTTGAGTGTCCTGATTGGCTTTCCTGTTCTCTAGATAGGGTACATGATCCTCTTCTATATTCACTTTGTTTATTCCTTTGTTTATTCCATTTAATATACTTCTGATCTCAGATAATGTGTTCTCCATTTCAGACTGGTTCCCTCTTATAATTTCCATCTCCATTTTTATCTCTTTGTTGGAGTTCTCTACATTTCCCAAAAGTTTATTGAGCATCTTTATAACCACTGTTTTGAACTCTGCATCTGTTAGATTACTTGACTCCATTATATCTTGGTCTCTGTTCTGTTCTTTCATATGGTTCCTGCTTATTTGTCTTCCCATTTCGGCTGCCTTTCCATATCTGTTTCTATGTACTAAGCAAAGCTCCTAAGTCTCCCGGTCTTATTGGTGTGGATTTGTGAAATAGGTGTCCAGTGGCACAGTCCTGAGGAGGGTTCAGCTGCAGGCCAAATATAGCCCAAGTCTCTACCCTTCCGGAGCCACCTGTCAAGATTCAGCAAGCAATCTATGGATACTGTGCTTATAGTTGTCTTAAAAGGCCACACCAGAAACTGAGACCAGCTGCCTCCAGGGTGAGTCTAGGCGCTGCTCAGCAGGAGCACCTGATTCGCTGAGGCTACACCTGGATGTGGCTTGGGTGGGGCCCGAGTTGGGGGAGGTGGGGTTTCAGGGAATCTTCTGGGCGGAGCGACCTCTGTTATCCAGTTTGATGATATCACAGCTATGGTGGCGCTGTGTCCGATGCACTGGGAGTGGGGAGGACTCAACAGGGTACAGTGGATACCACTGGCATTTCTATACTGAGCGAGTCTTGCTTTGACCCTCACTCCGACAACATCTCCTTGTAAATCCCTCGTGCCCCCTGCGCACAGCCAAACAGGCACTGGTGCTCAGAGTGGGCAGGTCTGTAACCGCAAAAATCCGCTCGCAGATGCGGCCCCTTTAAGAGGCTTCTGCCACTGCCACAGCCTCCATCTCACTCAGCTGCTGGGGACCGGGCAGCCCCATGTCCTCGCCCTATCCTATCTTTTGCCATTGCAGGGTGATTTCTTGGATTTCTCCCTAGTGGTATGGCTTATTCATCTAGGTCCCGGGTGATTTTTCCTTGCTGCTGCTCTTTGTTTCCGTCACAACTTTGATTTGGTCACCAGAGAGATGAATAGAGCCTCTATCATCTACGCCATTTTTTTTTCTCTCCTTTAGATCTTTTAAAATTTAGACATGTATACTGTAGCATGTGGGAGTGAAATAATATGTCTGGAATTCACTGTAAAATGTTTTGGCAAAGAAAATAGCAGTCAGTGATACAAATGTGACAAAATCTTAGAAATTGTTGAATCTATTTGATCGGTCATTCTATTTGTCTGTCTACTTTTGAATGTTAGAATTTTTCATATTTTTAAATACCAAAATAAATGACTTATGTCCTAGAAATTTTAGAAATACTAAAAGAAAGAAGTTTCTTATAGTAAAAAGAGTTACTCATTTAACAGGATGCCAGAGACTGTTTCCACAAAGAATTTTAAAAATAGGACCAATTCATTGGTCTGGGGGCAATTTTAGCTATAGTTCTCATAAAAGGCAGAGGACCTAAAAAATCTGTCAAGCTTCTTTTCTCAAAAATGATTCTATGGTAGATGTTATACTTTGTGACTACTTTGGGCCATTAATCTCAGATTTAATGCTTTAGTTGTGTTTTTTTTTTTTAAAAAAAAAAGAAAAAGCAGTGATATCTTTCTTCTCGCCCCATATTTCCTCTCCTCATGGCAATCTTCACTGGCAGTTCACTCTAATGGTTAACTGATGGAATGCAGAGCTACCTACTCATCCAGATCAAGCATTTAGTAGAGAGTCCTGCACTGATCTCACTCTGTTGAGAGTCTATGCTTGTAAGTGCAGACTAAAGCCTTTTGATGTTATGTGATCAATAAGAAAACCTTTGAGCTGGTATGTATTTGTCATTTAGAAAGGCATTCCTTTCAAAAGCATATAAACCCTTAATGTACTTACCCATTGCGAAGAATATCAATTTTTGTTTCTGGAAAAGGGAGCAAAAGAGAATTCCACAAGCTCTTAAAAAGAAAAACCAAGCACTTTCGTAGCTTATTAAAATGGCAGTATTTGTGGTAATATGTTTTATATTTTCTGGCTCCTTCCCATAGAAACCTGAGAATGCTTCTCCAAGACTAATAAACTCAGCCAGCATCCTTAGATGTAGACATTATAGTGTTCACAGATGAACAACCGACGCCTGACTGGTTTAGTAGGTGCCTCGTGTTTATAGAGTCAGTGGATGAGCAAGAATTTGCTTCCAGAAATCTTCCCATTTTAACCACAAGAAGTTTTTCTTATTTGGTACTATATTTGGGTCTATTGGTTTGAGTTTTATGGAATAATCCAGAGCACTTAAGATTTTCCTTTAGACATGTATCAGGAGAAATAAATGAGTAATAGGAGAGCAGAGGAAATTTTGGTTCTGCCTGAATCAGAGTTGCTGACACTCAGGTGCTGCTCCTTGCACTTCTCTAATTCAGGTTATGCCCCTGAGAGGCTGTTTACAGGACGCCGCATCGTTAGATGTGTGTGAATTTTCAATTTTGTAGACACCTAACTTATTTTCTCTCCCTCCTTATTCTTTCTAATAGATACCCAGTCGTCTAGACTCTTTATTACCTTCGCAAGAGCAGCCTCTACATAAAATTCTCTGTATTTCTCTTTAGCCCTCAGTCAGTACAAACAATACCTGGTAGTTAGTGAAATCATGATCTTTTGGCATTCAACAAACATACTCCACACAACCCTGAACTTCTCAGCTTGTTCTGCTACAGCACAATATATTATCGGCTAGAGAATTATAGTTAGAATAATTTGCTCTTTTTCCTAAACTTGTTGCCACTGTTAAATTATCATAAAACAGAACAACATTGCAAAACAGCTAAAATGCCTTTATAACTATAGATTTGAGAGGAAGCACAATGCAAAGTTTCATGGTCCAAAAAATTAATAAATATAGCAATTTTTTTTCTTGCTATTGTAAAAGAATAACATATCAAAAGAAAGATCTTTAATATGTGTGTATGTGCATGTGTGTATATCCAAAACGCGTTCTTTCAGAGAAATAAGACGGTTAGAGGGTACTACGTAAGGACAGTTTTCCCCCAAAAAAGGGAAAATTAAGACATACATAAAAATGAACACATTAAATATTTTATTTAACTCATTGTTAATAAAGAAACCAGTAAGGTTACAACCAATTCAAAGGAGAATCCAAACAGATGTATTTATAGATCAGGATTATTGAAACAAATGGGCAGATAGAGGCACGTTCTTCCCCTGTTGGTAAACAGAGTCCATTCAAAGTCTATTGGACAGAGTTTGCATAGACAAGAATGTCTCTGTTTAAACACAAGAATTATGCATTGCTATAGCTTTTACAATTTACAAAGTTATAAATTAGCTTCAAAATCAGATAATCCAGAAGAGTGTACTTTTGACACTGCATAGTTTTTCATTTAAAGCACAGATTTCCCACCCCCCACCCCCCAGCTTATAATGCTATATCTCTAAGTACATCATACCGTCAGTAACTCCTTAATATCGACAGAAGGAAGGCCAAACTCCTTAGGCAGACATTTACAGTTTAGCTTCAGCCTCTTTCCAACAACATTTTCTGTTATCCAACCAAGCATGCTTTAACACTACTTTATTCAGCCAAAGTTAAATACATACTCTCAAATTTTACTAATCATTTAAATTCCCGATAAATTGTCACTTCCTCTAAGAAGCTCTGTTGTACATCATCTACTTTAAATAGGAATTACTATACCTCCCTTTGACACTCGTCACCTTTCTTCTGTACTTTTCTTCTGTATTAACCATCTGCTATGATCTATAGTGGTTCTAAAACTTTAGAGTACAACAGAATCACCTGGAGGGTTGGTTAAAACACATTGCTGGGTTCCACTCATCCTCTGATTCAGTGGAGCTGAGGTTGAGCCTGAGGATTTGCATTTCTTACAAGATTTCAGATGATGCTGGTCTGAAGGCAACATTTTGAGAACCACCTGCCCAAAGGAATCATGTAAAAAAACTACAGATTGGATTAATGAGACATAGACCCAGCCCTTTAGGAATTCACAGTCTGATGGAAATGTCATAAAGCTGGCCCTCAAAATATCAGTAAAACCACTTTTAGGTAAGATAAAACTGAGTTTATTGAGGTAGAAGAATACCATTTCACCAGAGCCTTAGTAGTGCCTTGGAGGAAGGCGGGCAGGGGGGCGTGTAATAGTTGGGATATTTAAGATTTCGAAGTTCGATTTAAGGCAGGTCTTTTAATATAACGACTTAGGGTTGAGTAAGGAAGGATTGTGATGTGGTAGTTTAGAATTCATAGAATAAGATGAGGGTTTTACAGCAAGGGGTTCAAAGAGTTCTGGCGTATAAACGTGGTTGATGCTTTCTTTCAGAGAGTTGATACGTCATGAAGGATGTTTCTGGAATGAACGAGAAAAGAGTATAGTAGTAAAGTCATATGTAGATAGTCAGCCATACTAATGGTTTCAGAGACAGACACATAAACAAATAATTAGCATGGTAAGTAAGTGTAACTGAGGTAGTCATAGAGCCTTTTGGGAGCAAGTATATAAAATCTTGCAGCCTCCCGGCCATCTGCCACTGCCAGGAATTCCAAGATCGCGGATGTCCTACTTAGGGTTATCTTTGGTATAGCAAGGAAAAAGTATTATGTTTGTGAAGGCATTCCCCCTTGTTTCTTTTTCTTTTTCTCTTTATACTATTAAACATGCATACTTCCACATATATATCTTATAAACAATATCAAACTTTGGAGGAGTGGAAAGAATTCATATTTATTAAGGACCTACTGTATGACACATACAATACAAGTATGTGCATGTATATTTTAATTAACCGTGTATTAGATTTTTGTGATAATTATGATCACCCCTTGTTAATGCAGATAATCCTTATCAGGACTTTAAATGGACCTTTGGACAGAGCTCTTTTTATATTATCTAAAACTCATGATCTCTTCTTTTTGGTAGGGATAAGTAGTGAATATGATGATTTTAAGGCACAGTAATCCTCTATTAAAAAATAATAAGAAATAAGTATATATATATAAAATCCTGAATAGCAAGTTATCTTTGGGAAGTAACTCAAGCTGTAATCGGGGGTGACATAAAATGTCATCTGTTACCTTGCAAACAATTTCTAGAAACACCCTAAAGTGAGTGTATTAAAGTTACATCTAAGAAAGACAAATTAAATCTTTTGAAATTCAAATTCAGTGCTAAGCTCAGATTCTTGAAAAATAGTAAATGTTTGTACCAAGTACACCCTATGCTTTTTACAGGTTCCAAAATCAAATTAGAAAATATACACATTATAAAGTAAATTTACTTAGATTTATTTATGACAAGTTAATACGCACGTTCTATAAAATAACTGAGGTAGAATTCATTTCAGTGCATCATTTACTAAAGTTTTGAGATAACATCTGCAAGGCAGTTATCAGATACTTGCCATCATGCTAATGGCATTCATAACATATAGATTTGCTGGCTAAAGAAGCATCATCCTTTCAGCAATAAACAATTTTGCACGCAACTATATTTGCCATATGGGTTTTTATCACACCTTCTTAGTCCCAGATTTCTCTGTGCTAATTGCAGCTAAGTCAAATTGGTACAAAGAGGACTTCAGAGAGTAGTAGGGTGTCTTGTCCTAATTTGAAGCTGTAAATGAAAGTGGGGCTGAAAGAGAAAGCACAGAAAGATATGTCAGGAAGTGGCGTGAAAATAAGGCTTTCTGAAGACAATGAAATAAGACAGACTATAAAAGTTGCCAGAGGCATGACGTGGTTATGGGAGTGTTTAATCTCTCCCAACATCTACTAGATCTGGGTTTCTCTACCTGGGCACCAGACAATTCTTTGTTGTGGGGACTGTCCTGAGCATCATAGGATCTTAAGCAGAATCCTTGGCCTCAAGCTACTAGATGCCAAACACCATACCCTCAGTGTGATAATGATAATGTCTAAATATTCCCTGAGAGATCTGCCAGATTAGCAAGTAAAAATAGGTAGCCTAAGTAAATGTGAATTACTGATAAGCAGCAAATAGATTTTTGGTATATACATCCTGTGTAATGTTTGGTACAGACTTATACTAAAAATTTGTTGTTTATCTGACATTCCAATTTAACTGGGAGTTCTATATTTTATCTAGTAACCCTACTAGGAGGCAAAATTGCCCATAATTGAAAACTGCTGTGCTATTGGTGTCAGTAAATTAAGAGCAAACACCCAGCATACCCTTGACTGACCTCTTTGGCAGTGTTGCTTTCCTTAAGAGCCCAGTAACCTTTTTCCCAAAGGAGGGCTCATTAACCTCCCTCACAGGGTGAATGTGAGGTCTAAAGGAAATAACGAATGGAAAACTCTTAGTATGATCCCAGGTGTAGTAAACAGTTGATATGTTTATTACTGTCTAGCGGTCCCTCACAAGATGCTGTCATAATATCTACTGGTCTCTCAGCTTAATTTTCACTAACAAAGACTGTATTAAGGAAACAACAGGACCCATGCAGTGATGCTCAGTCTTGGCTGCACATTGAAATCACCTGGGAGGTGTCCTCCCTGATGTCCATATCCTTCCTCTGAGAGATCTGGATTTCAGTGATCTGGAGTGTGTGGCCTGAGCAGTAGGATTTTCAAAAGCTCCACAGAAGTTCTGAAATGTATAGCAAAGCTGAGAACCCCTCTGTGAGAGAAAAGTATAGAATAATCGGTACTCCTGAATAATGAAGAGAGGGAGTGAGCGTGACTTAATTACATCTGATGCTTGGATTGTACACAAGTGGGTTGGAATCAAAATTAGAGAAAAGATGTACATGATTCATTTATTCATTCAACAAATGTCATATCTGAATGTCTACTTTGTACCAGGTCATGTTCTAAGCAGTGAAGGGAGTCCCTGTCCTTGCTGAATGCGAGTAGAGAGAGACAGACGATAAATAAGACATTTTAATCTAATTTCAAAGACTAGAACAAAGTCACAAATAGTCTTAATGAGAAAGCAAAATAGGGAGAAACCAGCCTGACTTGACAAGATATTTTCTGACCTTAGCTCTTAGAAGAGATAGAAGTGGGAAGGACATATTCTAAGGACAAGTAGAAGGATGGCATAAAACTAAAAAGTGTCAAAATGGCCAAAACACAGGGTGGGATTTTAGAAACACTAAAAAAACTAGCTAACTACAGCAGGACCATTCGGTGAAAAAGGAAGTCGTAGCAAAAAGGAGAACAAGAAGGAAGCGTAAGGCTGTCTTTTTTGAGAAAGATATGCCGTGTTTAACAGATTGCTAAAAGGCAGAACACCTATTTTGCTTTATTTTTCTCAAGAATGAGCTACTAGAAAATACACAACAAAAACTGCGAAGTGGAAATTCATAGGCTAAAATAGGTGATGATATAGTGAAAGGCTACCCACATCCACTGTACATGGATTATTAACCTCTTGGTTCAGAAAACTAGGCTATCAATAAATTTTCATATGTGATCACAGAAACTTTGGTAGTAATATTATAGGAGTGATAGTGTATTTGTGAAAATTACACTCGTTTTTATAACAAACAAACCTCGAAATATATATAATGGCTTAAATGCAATCAGAGTTTATTTCTTGTTCTAGTCTGAAATTAATGTTCCTGATTAGTGGGTGGCTGTCCTCTAAGGGTGGTTCAGGGACCCAGGTTCCTTCTATCTTGTGGCTCTGTCATCTTTAATGAATGGCTTCTCAGGTCTCCATGCTCATCTACTTTTAGACTGTGGAAAGAAAAGGACCATGGAGAGTCACCAGTGGGATGCACATGTGGGCTCAGCCTGGAAGCAGCACACATCACTTTTATAACCCTCTGCTGGCTAAAACTCAAGTCTCTTGGGCACCCCCACAGAAAAGAAAGCAGAGAAATGTAGCAGGCCCACGAAAATGGTAATCAAGTTTGGTGACAGCTAACTAGTGTCTACCCAGATAATAAGACATCTACCAGAAAACCGTAGTTAGATGAATAATTCAAATTTCAAAAACGGGGTTGAAATGGAGTTGAAGGATATAGAAACAACACAGGCTTGAAACTACTTAGAAGGAAAAAAGCAGTGATGACTTGCAGTCTGTACCTCCTCTTCTCCTGCATATTAGCAAGGCATTTAACAAATACATGGCATCGTTGATAAATGAGAACTGGGCGATGGTATCATTTAGTGGGTTCATATTTCTTCTGATAACTGTGTCCAGTGAGTGGTAATCATTGTTAACCATGAAGGCAGTCTCTTGTGCTATGCCATGTGACTTTCCTTGCTCATGTCTCAGAATTATTATGAAAAACTTGATTAGAAACAAATTTGTGGCTGACTTAGTGAAAGAAATACTGAATGCTATTGCACATGAAGGAATCAAGAGTAGTTTCAAAAGGATCTCAACAATCTAGAATATAGGTCAGCTGAATTTTTCTGAAAACAGCAAGAGAGTATTTTAGACTTTTGAGTCATAAGGTCCCTGTCACAACTAGTCCTCTCTGCTGTTGTATCCCCAAAGCAGCCATAGACAATACATAAATGAACTGGTGTGGCAGCCCATGGGCCATACTTTGCTGAACACTGATCTAGAAGTACAGGCTGAAATCTGAAGGTGATAAATCTAAGGTTGTTCATTTAAGGCCAAAGAACAACAGGCCTACCACGTTACATATATGGTATCCTTTCTAATTATAACAGAGCTATAAAATAGGCATTTTTTTGTTCTTATTTCATGTATGGGAAAGCTTCATCTCAAAAATAAATAGTTTGACCTGGCTTTCACATCTGGATAATACTTTATGAGACATCATGCCACTTCATAACATGTTTGGGCAAATTGAGAGTCACAATTAATTGCTCAGGTCAAAGATGGAGCACTTCTTGTGGTGGCCCTGGGTTCTTCCAGCTCTATTCTTATCCAAGTGTGTGACCTTGAGAAACTTGCTTGACTTCTCTGGGCCTTGGCTAACAAAGCAGTAAAAATAAGAGGCTCAACTAGATGAACACCAAGGCCCTCCTCTCAGGTCCAATAGGGTTATTATTAAAACGTTAAGGGCATCATGCGAAAGAGAACTGAGATTTTTTGTGTGTGTGACTCTAAAAGCAATTCTTTTTAAACTGTTCTAATGTAGTTTTACACAAAACCAATATATAAAATATAAAAATGGTATCTTATGAGTACACGTGTTTTATAAGTTCAAATTTATAATGTTTTATAATTATAAAGCCATTTATCAAAAGACAGGCTGATACACATGAAACTGAATTTTTAAACTGAGAGCGATAGATGATGATGGATTCAGCATTCCACTCATTGTTATTTGCTTACTGGCTTTTGGTTGTGTAATGAAAATCTTTATTCACATACGTAGTTTGATAAAAAAATTAATAGTTTTG